TTCGATGCAAAGGCTTTGAATGGTGGTGTCAAAAGAATTGTAGTGGTCCTGCTCTTGGTTTCTAATAGAAAGTTCCTAATCTTGAATTTCTCAACGTAATATCGCATATTTATTTACAAGAAATGACATACAGATGTCTTCGCTAATTGTTTGATCAAGTACAATTTTACTTGCAGATAATCATTTACTTGTTCCTTTCAGTTCAAGAACATCCTTATAACTGTAAAACTGGTATATGAACATCTGTACTTCAGTTATATTCACGCCCAACTTCTTTAATATTAATTAGACTCGAAGGGCGATATAAAAATGATATGGGCTCATACTCAGTGTGATCGCTGAAAAGAAACACGAAAACATGGTCTGGAATACATTTAATCAGAACTAGAATGTTTATAACATTTTAACATTTAACTAGAATGTTTATAACATTTGCTCCCGCCATTTGCCATGAGAATTGAACAACTACCCATTGATGACCAATTGTGTTTCTTACAGCTTCTTTTGATAACCATGTCTCAAGTAGGTCCAGGCGAGTTCTATTTCCCTTTAATTTCTGATTCTGTGCATATGCGCCATGCAAAGAAATTTGCTTAAATCTAATAAATTGCGTTTAATTATTAAGTGTGCAACTGACACGTATTCCTGCTATTTACTTCGAAACTTGATTAGGAGATTTCGAATCGTAAATAAATATAAACAATGTTAAGCACTTTACTATTAGCCTGCATCATTAAAGAAAACACAATGTTTGAGCCTTAATGTAAAGTATTAAAACTACCTCTGGAGAAAATTAGAAAAAATATCCTTTCTGTAACAACATTATAATGAAAAAACGCCATTGATATTTAATCAGACTATTCCTTGAAAAAACTGAATACTGCATCTTAAATGATTAATAGAGCAATTGCAGAAGTAGTGAACACAAATTAGACTGAGTTTGTAAAGTTTTAATCTCTTTAAAAATGGAGGAGAAAAATATAGAATATTTAATGAAATCCAGAGAAGAATCAAACGAAGTTGTAAAAGATTTTGCGGCAGAGTGTACGGAATAATTGGGAACAATCTGACTTTTTGCATCTAGAATTTGTGCTAATGCAAATTGTGCTATACGTACTTTTGTGGATATTAGAAAAAAAGCTTAGAAAGGTATCGATACTAAA